AAGGATGAGCGCACTATACGAACAATGGGCTGCGGCCTCTTTTTGACATTTTCTAAGCTTTATCTAATTGTCTTTGCTTGACTCCAACAAGGCTTTAATGGACCATTCTTAGCTCATTTTAACTTTATTGCCCTGAAATACATATAAACATAAATTAGGACTAAAACATGAAATTAAGATAGATGCAAAGACTGAAATACCCTAACTTAGGTGCTGAAATGTGTAACATTTATTATTTTGATCTATTGTGCCTTTCACATGTTGTTTAGACAATATATACTTCATTGCTTAGATATATTGTGCCTTTCACATGATATTTAGACAATACTTGCTTGACTAGCCATCCTTACTTGTTGAATCAACCAAACACATACACACACCAATATTGCAACACACCATTTGCCCTCATTAGTCACTTATCAATGGTATGGAAATGCATTGCTTGGTGGTAATCCCTAAACCCCAAGACTCTTCTCTCTCTTATTTGTTCTTAGTTGCATTCTTTTGTTATCACTTAGTTTAATTTAGTTGATCAATCAACCAACCAACCAATTGTTTGATAACTCGACCTAATAGCGATTCTACAACCTTGTTCGACCCTCACAATCCCTTGGGACGATCCCTACTTGCCTTAGCTATATTTATAGTGAAAGGTAGTAGTGACTTTTATAAATGTAAAACTTTTGGCCCTCGCCCAAAATTCACACTCTCAAACTTGATGGTAGTGCGATAGACCGGTCATGTTTTTTGGCGCTGTTGCCGGGGATTGATTTGATTTAGCAACGTCGGAATTTTGGAATCAATTAGGATTAGTACTCTTTTGATCGTGTCTTTACTTTATTTTTTACTTTTCTTTTTGGTTACTTATTGTGTTATTCTTACTTGACTAGGTGTATTGTTGGAGAGGAAACAAGCAAATGAGCATTCAAGCAAAACAAAGAAAGTAAAAAGCTAAAAATTTAAAAAATTTGCTAAGCTAAGCTTTATTGGAGTTGAAGTGCTAAAGGACCTTTGTGAGACTTTTTTTACTCCATCCCTTAGTTAAATCGTTGGCCCACGTGGAGGCTTGTTTTTAATTTCTTAGTTAAATCATGAGCCCGCGTGGAGGCATTCTTAATTGTTCTTTGCATCATTATTGTTAAAGCATGGGAGTATGAATTAAGTGTTTGTGGAAGAAGTCTAATTGCATTGTTGTGAAGGCATAATGTTTGTTCATTCATAGTGTTTATGTGTTTTCACATTGTGCATGCATGGTCGTCGTTCATTGAGACCCACTCTTGTCCCTTTAGATTTGCATCTTGAATCCATCGTTAGAAATCCTAGGGGAAGAGGAAGTTCAAATAGAACAAATCTATCAATGGATGACCATAATGATGATCATGTTGAGAACCTTGGTCACATAGACCAACAAGGTATCCTTCATCCAAATGTGCACAATGAGAACATACAAGTACCATTAGGTATGCCTAGGCCATACATTCACCAACCACCACAACAACAAAGCTAAGCTCCATATGGAATGCCAAGGCCAATGTATGCTCCACAACCTCCTATCATCAATCAAGGAATTCAAAACCAAGGTGTTCATGTTGCACCTCAAGTAGCTAATCCACCTCTTGCTTTAAGAGACCATTATGTGCCTAATGAGTATAATGCACTACATGCATCCAATTGCCTCAATTTAGAGCACATCATTATGAAATTAAGCCACAAACCATTCAAATGCTTCCTAACTATCATGGACTTCCAAGTGAAGAACCTTACAAGCATTTGGATGAGTTTCTTGAAGTATGTTCCACCGTAAAATATACGGACATGCCGGAAGAGGTCTTAGGACTTAAACTTTTTCCATTCACCTTAAAAGACAAGGCAAAGTATTCGTTTAACAATCTTAGGCCTTTTTCAATCACTTCTTAGGCAGAAATGTAACAAGAGTTCTTGAAAAAGTACTATACGGTTTTTAAAACTAATGTCATGAGAACTTCGATTTGAGAATTTTCACATGGGGATGGAATAACATTTCATGAGGCATGGGAACGCTTCAATGAGTTGCTTATGAAGTGTCCACATCATGACATGCCCAAATGGCAATTAGTTCAATATTTCTTTGAGAGTTTATCGGACAATTACAAGGGTATGGTTGATGCTTCCATGGGTGGCTCATACATTGATAGGCATGAGGATGACGTGTGGCGTCTTTATGAGAGCATGAGTGAAAATTCTTTGCATAGAACATTATCACCCAAGAATGGTAGAAATTCACAAGGTAGGAAAAGTGTTGGCTTACATCAAGTCGACCATTCAAATGAAATAGCCGCCGAAATGAAGTCTTTATCTCAAAGGTTTGATCAATTTTTTATTAACCAAAACTCGGCAAACCAAGTATCTTCCTTCCCTAACCATTCTCATCGTGCATCAAATGAAACATGTATGACTTGTTCTAGTGTTCTTCATTCTACTTCTCATTGTCCTCAAGGACAAATGCAAAATGAACCTAATGAACAAGTCAATACAGCTTTTGTGAACCAAGGGAACAATCCTTATGGTACTCACTATAATCCAAGTTAGAGGAATCATCCGAATTTCTTTTGGAAAAACCAAGGAGATGGCTCACACCCTTCCCAAGGCGGTTTTCAAGAGAAATACATTCCAACTCCACTTCAAAACCAAGGATCCCAAGGTTATAGACTTTATCAATCACAAGGGAATCAATTTGCTAATTCTCATTTTCCTAACCAATCTTATTCCCAAGGAAATACTAGAAGTCCCGCCTTTGAAGAAAAAGTTTTAAATGCTTTGGGCACTTTAGAGGCTAATACACAATTGCTTCATTCTCACTCTCAATTTATTGCGAAGCTAGAAACCCAAGTAAGGCAAATAACAAGCACTCTCAATGCAAGAGAGAAGGAAAAGATGCCTATTAATGCCCCACCTAAGCAGCAATGTGTTGTGGAAACCCATTCCTCATCGGAAGGCCACACCATTGAACATGTTAATGCGGTGACTGCCTTGCGGAGTGGTAGGATTGTGGATAATCAAGTTGAAATGTCCAATGAAGAGAGTGAACCGGTGCAACCTCAAGTTATCACCCCTCCCGTTTCACATCCCATTCCTCATTCATTGCATATACATGATTTTGTGAATGAGAAAGTCTTGAAAAATGTGTTTGAAAAAGAACTTTTGAAAAATGATGTTGAAAAAGTTTTGCTGAAAAATGATTTGAAACAAAGTGATTTGAAAACTTCTTGTGTTGAAAAGAGTTCAAAAGAAAATTCTGAAAAAGTGTCTGAACCAAAAGTTCCATTTCCGGATGCTTTAAAAGGACCTATTTCAAAAGACAATCAAAAGGCAAAAACCAATGAAATTATGGAAATGCTTAGGCAAGTGAAAGTCAATCTTCCACTTCTTGATGCAATCAAGCAAATTCTGGCTTATGCCAAATTCTTGAAAGATTTGTGCACCCAAAAGCGGAAGAACAAGAGCCAAACACCAAGAAAAGTGGTTTTGACCGAGTAAGTAAGCTCAATTTTGCAACATAACACTTTGCCAAAGTTTAAGGACCCCGGTTCACCCACTACATCATGTATTATTGGTGATCATATCATTAATCGGGCGCTTCTTGACTTGGGAGCAAGGGTTGACCTTCTTCCATACTCGGTTTATTTCAAATTTGGCCTAGGTGAATTGAAACCGACGTAGGTAGTTTTACAACTTGCCGATCGATCCATTAAGAAGCCTAGGGGTATAATTGAGGATGTATTGATAAAGATTGACAAATTCTTCTTCCCAGTTAATTTAGTTGTCATAGACACGGAACCGGTCCCCAATCCTAAGAGCTAAATTCTCGTTATCCTTAGCGCCACATGAAGGTGAAGTTGAATATCTTTAATCCCACACCCAATTCATTTGACAAATATGAAGGAGAGGTTAATGTTGTAGATTATTGTCATGATCTTCAATGTCAAGGAAGTGAGCTTTTGTGTAAGACCAAAACTTAAAAGGGATCATCTTTTTTCTTGTATTCTCAAAGTGTTGTTTCAAATTCTTGCTTTGAAAGGGCATGGAAGCCCAAAGGTTGTAATTGCATAGACAAAGAATCAAAAGTTTCTTTTGAGCTTAATCCAACAAGTTCTTCAAAGAACCATTTGTTGGGTGGAGTTTAAAGCATCTATCACCACAACAAGGAGGGGATGCATTATCCGGGCTAAAAGAGCCCAATGTCTTGCTAGAGACATTAAAGACTAACAAAAACATTTTGTAGGGTGTAAAAACCCTATTCCTCCCCCATTTCTATCTTAAATTTCATTGCGAAGTCTAGATATTCAAAATTTACAAATTCTAAAAGGGTATTTGAATGACAACTTATTACAAATGTTAAATTAATTTCATGGTTTGATTTGTCCTAAGTGAATGTGTATATGAAAATTATGTATTGATTAATTATATACTATTACTACATCATACACATTTTCAGTGAATTATGATCTTAACAATGTAAATTTAACATGGGCTTAAGTAGTAAATATGAAAGTAAATTTTAAAACAATAAATTAGGACAAAATGTTATGGACATAATATGGCAAAAAAATAATACAGAAATATTACTTACAAAACAAAAGGCAAGGATACCAGGTTATGTATAAGCATTGAAGGAATTTTGGGTCTAATATTGACTTTTCTCTCTACTTCTCTATTCCTTGATTGAAAAAAACTAGAAAAAAATGCTAGAAATCATTCAACAACCAAATCAAACAACCAAACAGCAACCCCGAACCACCAATTCAGCCACCCATAGCAATCAACACTCGAATTCGAACTCCAACAACCAAATCAAGCAACCAAACAGCAACCTCGAACCACCAATTCACATGTCCTCTTTAATTATCCAATTGTAAATAAGCATTATCCAATTTTAAATACACATTAGATGGGAATATACCTATATACATGGAATGATAAATCTAATATTATTAAATAACCTAAATAACATTATGAATTACCTGTGCTGCCTCTGTACGCCAATATCTAATGAGATAATCCCATTGGTCCTCCTCAACACTTGGTGGTGGGTTTGCATATCGTTGTTCATCTGTACGCCAAATTTTATAATAGTTACTTTTAATTTCACTTTTCCAATCTCTCCATTTATGACCAAGGGATGATAATGTCCAATCTTTTGAGATTTCTTCTACTGCAAACTTGCCCTGCATATAAAAGATAAATAAATAAAGAATCGAGTAATTAAAAAAAAAAAAAATTAACTCTAGAAATGAAATGTGTATACAAGTGAAATCAGTCAGTCAAAGATGTGAAGAGTCGAAAAAATTTTACTCGGACCATCGTCCACATGTCCTTTTTAACTATTTCAGGGACTTTCCTCCAATTTTTATAGTTCAAGGGAGCTGCAAGACCATTACAGGCAATTGTGCCCAAATAATTAGCGAAATTTTTTTCATCGGCTCCATTAGGCTGTCCATACTCATTCACACTCTAAAATGGTATAATAATAAATAAGTCATCGATTTGGACCAAATAAGTAAAATGGTATAATAATAAATAAGTCATTCACACTATAAAATGGCTTCACTTGCATGCATTTCCTAAAACTTTATAGTCATTCAATGCCATCATTTAAATAAAGTCACCTTAATGGTATCAGGCCATTCTTTTTGGTGTCATGTTGTACCACATTTGCGCAGCGTGTGGGGCCTCGAGTCTTCTTCGGTGTTATTAACTCATTGCTTTCAGTAGTCCCCACGTCCTCTTCTTGTGAACCATGGGAAGTATGGGACTGCGAATTTGAACCCTGAGAAAGTCCTCCATGCAATTCTAATTCCAAGTTTGTTGTTGCCCTACGTTTCATTATGTTCCTGCATAAAGCTAACAAACCTTTGTTGCCATGTTTATTCAAGCTGGTAGTTAAGATAAAATTTAGGCTGAATATATTAGGTCTTCAAAAACATCAAAATTTGGAAAAGTAACACACTTGAGAACAATTACAATATGCAAGGAGGAAGTATAAATTTACTTAAGTATGATAGTACCACAGTTTTATTTGTTTTAGGACAATATCAATTTGAAATATGTTAAAAAAAATAAATAAATAACTAATATTATGTATACTCTTTTTACTTACCAAGTTATAAGAAAATGAGTAAGGGAGGGAGGGATGGAAAAAAAATCATAATATTCCATAAGCACGAAGCCAAAAAAAAGATGAAAATAAGAAAATGCAACATTATTTGCAACATTTAAGAAAAAATTATCATCATTCTAAGTATGTTATTCATCCGGAATATCTTCTTTTTCCGTGTTTGCTGATGAAGATTTATCAACCATTGTTCCAGGCACATCACCTCTATCCCAATGAATCTGATCATCAGTTGCATCTGAGTGTAGAGAACTAAATGGTTGCTCAAATCCATAGGTCTCAGTATCATCTTCAGGAATATCATATAAATCACGAGGTTTTGTCCCTATAACAACATGCCAATCTGTATCAACTGGGTCTTGAACATAAAACACTTGCTCAGCCTGAGATGCTAGTATGAATGGTTCGTCAGTTCGCATTACACGTGAAAAATTAACGAGTGTAAACCCAAAATCATCCTCCTCCAAAATCATCCTCCTTTATCCCTCTACCCTTAGAGAGTACATCAAACCAATCACACTTGAACAATACAACCTTCCTTTCTTCATTGTAGTCCAACTCAATGATATCAATCAATAATCCGAAGTAATGAACATTTCCTGCAATAGGATTTTGATCACTGGCTCTTGCATAACTTGATGTGTGTGCTTTTAAAACAACACCACTATTTTGGGTCTTCCTCTGATTATCACGATCTCTAACATTAAACTTAAACCCATTAATCATGAACGACTTAAATCGTTTGGAAACGACATTAGGACCCCGAGCTAGGCATCGAATCTCATTAGGGATAGGATCCTCCGTATTCCGCAGCTGTATTTTCAAAGATGTAAGTTTTACAATAAAATAAATAGCATATATAATATAAAATTTAATTAACCATTCTATGTGTAGATACTTACACATTCATTAAACCACTTATGAAATGATAGATGAGACATTGATTGTATTTGTTGTGGCTTTAAATTCCGTTGCCTTCTTTTAAGAAATTTCTTATGCTTTCTGTAATGAAAAAATATCATACTCTATATGTTATATTGTTAACAACAAATGAATAATAATAATAATAACAACTAGGTCAAATATTGTAAACTTTTCACTTACTCAATGAATTGTGTAGCTCCGTCGTAGTTAAATAACACATACCGATGAGCTTGTGTTTGACAATCATCATCTAAAACAATCATCTCCTGTTTTCCTAAGGCACGACCTCTAGGGCCAAAAGTAGACATCTCTTCTCCATCATCAAGGTTGTCATCATTCCTTGAGGGCCTATTGAACCTTGTCTCCACGTTTTCTAGGTATCTTGAACAAAAATTTAAGCATTCCTCAGCTAAATACCCTTCTGCAATTGAACCCTCTGGGCGACTTCTATTGCGCACATAATTTTTTAAGGTTAAAAGATACCTGATAGGATACAACAAAAAAATGAGAAGTATTTGCAATATTTAGTGGGGAAAAAAGCCTATGAAAATAGTGCAAAAAAGTTAAACCTCTCAAATGGATACATCCAACGATATTGCACTGGTCCTGCGATCTTTGTTTCCTGAGCTAAGTGAATTGATAAGTGGACCATCACATCAAAAAAAGATGGTGGGAATATCATTTCCAATTTACAAAGTGTTAAAGCAATCTTATTTTGCAAATTGTCCAACTCAGCCGGTATGAGAGTTTTTGAACATAATTCCTTATAAAAGTTACTCAACTCAACAAGTGTAGAGCATACATTCTTTAGCAATAGCTTGCGAATGGATACTGGTAATAGTTGTTGGATTAGGATATGGGAATCATGGCTCTTTAAACCGCTAATTTTACGCTCTTTCAATTTCACACAACGTGATATGTTAGCTGCATATCCATCTGGAACTTTAACTTTTTTCAACGCCCGATAAAAGATTTTCTTTTCAAGTGGAGAAAATGTGTAACTTGCTGAAGGCAAATAATATTTGTTTGCACCACGTTCCTGGGGGTGAAGTGAATGCCTTATTTGCATCTCCTGCAAGTCGAGTCTTGATTTTAAACCATCCGTTCCTTGACCCGGTTCATTCATCAAAGTATAAAGTACATTGTCGCATATATTCTTCTCAATATGCATCACATCAAGATTATGACGAATAAGAAGGTGCTCCCAATAAGGCAATTCAAAAAATATACTCTTCTTCCTCCAATTGAACATTGGATTTTCATCCATTTCATCCACTTGTGCAGCATTCCCCTTGCCATCATCCCCTTTCCCAAATGCTGGAAAGCTAATGCCCTCTAGTTCATGTAGCACTTCTGTTCCAGATAACATAGGTGGTGCACACCTAGTCTCTTCTGTTCCATCAAAAGCTGCTTTATTGCGTCTGAATCTATGACATTGCTCAACAAAACGCCTATGGCCTGTATAACAAATTTTTTTGCTATGTTTTAACCTACAAGAACAAGTGTCTTTAAGACAAACTGGACAAGCCAAATACCCCTTTGTACTCCAACCAGATAAGTTTGCAAAATCAGGAAAGTCACTTATAGTCCACAATAACGTTGCATGCATGCGAAACATCCCTTTTCTCGACGTATCATAGGTATCCACCCCTTCAACCCACAATTCCTTTAATTCTTCTATCAAGGGCTGCAAATATACATCAATATCATTTCCATGACCCTTAGGACCAGGGATTAAGGTGGACAGTATGAAAAAAAGGTTGTTTCATGCACATCCACCCTGGCAAGTTGTATACAGCAAGAACAACAGGCCATGTACTATATGCAATACTCATAGTCCTAAATGGGTTGAAACCATCTGATGCTAGGCCAAGTCTAACATTTCTAGAATCCCTAGCAAACTCTGGATACTTTTTGTCAAAATGATCCCACGCTAGAGAGTCAGCAGGATGTCTTAATTTTCCATCTTTTATGCGTTCTTCCTCATGCCATCACATATCTGAAGCTGTCTTATTTGACATGAACAACCGTTGAAGTCTTGACTTAAGAGGGAAATACCTTATAACTTTGGCTAGAATTTTTGTCTTTTTTGATGGAGGTGATGTACTTGTACTGCCCTCGGAATGGGTGTCAAAATCCTTCCACCTAGACTTGCCACATTTATGACATATTTCATCATTAACGTGCTCCTTCCAGTACAACATACAATCAAAGGGACATGCATCAATCTTATCATACTTGAGACCTAAGTTACTAACTATCTTTTTTGTCTCGTAAAAAGATTTTGGCAGTGTCTCACCTTCTGGTAGTACATCTTTCAAAAACATTAGCAACTCACTAAATGATTTATCAGTCCATTGATGCAAAGTTTTCAACAAATATAGTTTCACTATAAAAGACAACTTCGTAAAGTTTTTACACCCAGGATATAGATCTGTTTTTCCATCATCTAGAAGCTTGTAAAACTTATCTGCCTCTTCATTAGGGCCCTGATGATACTCATTTTCCCTATCAGCTTGTTCACCCATTTCATTTTAAATTCCAAAACCCTCATATAAGAGTTCGTGCATGTCATCATTATTTACATTGGAGTCGATGTGCTCGTATAAGGTGTGCCCATCATTATGCCTAGAAGACGAAGGTAATTGTTCTCCATGATAAATCCAAGTTGTGTATGTTTGGATAAACCCATTCCACATCAAGTCATCCAAAACTTCTTGTCGTGTTTTCTTGATACAATTCCCACAATTGTTACAAGGACAATAAATGCATCCACTCTGCCCAACTCGCTCAAACGATGTATCTAGAAATTGTTCAACTCCATTCGAGTATGTAGTACTTATCCTATTTGTATAGTAAGAAAGACAAAAGTAAAAATGAATTTATCATAAATATCTAAACCAAAATGAGAATTAAGCTTTATTTATTTATTATTTTTTTGAAAATTGACGAGACTAAAATTTAAAGTACCTTGACTCCGTAATCCAACTTCTGTCCATTATGATAGATTCTATAACCTAATGAAAGAAATTATATATGAATCTCTACAAAATAATAAATATATTACAACAAAGTTACAAAAGTAACAAAGTAATAAAAATTATTTATTATCCTCATGAAGAATAATACATATGAGAGAGAGTGTTGGTTTTAACTATAAATACAAGTTTAATGCATTGGATTTCTTTTCCTTTTCCTTTTACAGTTTTCTTTTCCTTTTTCAGTTTTCAGTTTTCTTTTCCTTTTTCCTTTTCAGTTTTAATACATACAAGTTTACTTTAATTCATGACAAAAAGTTATGGCTTGACTAGTTAATCTGTTTTGTGAACACTAAAACCAAAAGTTAGGGTTCACATCCATAACAAAAGTTGCTGGAATTTAAAGAATACGACAAATTGGAAGAACCCATGTATCTCACCAATCAATGAATTCTTAAGAAAGAGACCCTATTAACATAATACAAGCCACAAAAATACAAACTACAATATAAGAACAATAAAAACCCATCTGTTTAGAAAACAAATAAGCCAAAGCAGCAGAACCAACATGAAAGCCTCAAAATCATAAGACCCCAAAATCGGCAACAACATACCGAAAATCGGCAACAACATTACCCTATTTCCTTAAAAAATCAGAAGCCCCAAAATCGGCAACAACATACCAAAAATCGGTAACAACATTACCCTATTTCCTTCAAAAATCAGAAGCCCCAAAATCGGCAACAACAGACCAGAAATTATATATGCAGTAGTTGGAGCTGATTCGTTCAAGAAAGAGTAGAATGGAGAAAAACCCAAAACATATATGCAATTGTTCATCTTTACTTAAGAAATTAACAACAATATAAGCTAATTACTTAAGAGAGAGAGAGATAAGTGGAGCTCTTAAGAAGGGAGGGATTAGGGTTTGAAGTTTTTAGAACTAACCGTATGCCAACTGAACAACCACCACTATGTAGATCTCTGATGCGCCACCAATCGGCCACCACCGCCATGATCTTCCCTGCGCCACACCAACCGCACCACCAAGGTTTGAAGCCGTGATCAAGTCAGTGAGAGAATAGAAGGGAGGAATAGAAATCGTGTGAATAGTAATAGCCTCCCCTAAACGTGATTTTTAGGGAAAAAAATAATAATACATAAAATAATAACAATTAAATAAAAATTACATAATTTCTGGCATATTTTTTATACCCGCCGGAATTATTTAATTAATTCCGGCGCTTTTATAAACACTGCCGGAAATACTACATATATACCGGCCGTTTTTATCATACCGCCGGTATTATAACCAATAATGGCAGTTTATTATAAACTACCGGTAAAAATTAATTAACAACGGCACACACATAAAAACTGCCGGTAAAAATGATATTTCTTGTAGTGACCACCATCATTACTAGACTGCAGGACCACGCAATAGTGGCAGCAGAGGAGCTAGAGGCTGAGGAGGCAGAGGCAGCAGCTCAGGCAGCAGCAGCAGATCCCGCAGCGGACGACGCACCGGTCGGTCCAGCTGCCTAGCATGTAGATATTGATTTAGAGCGTCTTACAGACGCTACAGAGCAGTACTCTTCAGCTGGGTCTCACATTCACGAGTAGGAGCAGACTCAGGATCTTTCTTTTGATTCATCTATACCTAAGGCTCCAGATCTGACCCCCGGCTTTAGAGTACGCCTGCAGACTCTTAAGGATGTTGTTGTTGCTATACGAGCTGATTTTACGGCCCATAGAGCTGATTTTGCTACCTTCCGTAAGGATGTCGCGACTATGTTCCGAGATCTATCCAGAGATATCCGCGGAGCCCGACCTGCCCGTCTTACCTCATCATCTTGAGTTCCCAATTCCTTCTATCTTTTGATCCATCTTTGCTCTCTAATCTCTATTTTTGTCACTGAACAGTACTATTATTTTTGCAGCCGGTCTGTCAGCTTTGAAATTTCTGTTGTACCAGCACTTTATCTATTTTATATATCTGTTTTTGCTATGGATGTCATATGATTATATTCTCATATTTGTATATTTGACTCCATCAGGTGCATCACAGTGACTTCAATGAGAGAGTGTTACCCGATTTTCAGGACCACCCTTATACCTCTCTCATCTCTTTATCTGTCTATCCCATTTACACTTGCATGTCCATTGTGCACTACTTATCCCATTTTGTTATTTGATGAGTTTATCCAAGTGCCAATTTTCAGGACCACAGTTCATCCCAAGTTTAGGGGGGCCATGTCACCCACTTCGGATACTTCAGTCTCGATCATTCTTGCTTAGTTGCATTGGTATACTCTTTCTTTTATTCTCTTGCATATTGAGGACATTGTGCCATTTAAGTTTGGAGGGAATGGTGCTTTGCAGTGTTAGTTTTAAATTCAAGATTTTGAGCATGACTTGTGTATTTGAGGGATATTTCTATGATTGATCCATATCTAGCTATGATTTTGATCTTTTGAGGACTATATTGCTTAAAATTTAAAAATTACTTGACTTGAGAGTCCAATACTCCTTGTACGCTTTGTGGAAGCCATTTAGGAGTAAATTTTTCGAAAGATTGATATCTTACTTGCACTGATGGTCCACATCATCTTGATTTTGTGATTGTTTTGAGATTCATTCTTGGATTCTACACTAGCACAGGCGTACACTAGCATTCATTTTTGGGGTACATGCTTTGTTGATTATTGAATTGGTTATATCCCAATTGGGCTAGTAGTGCATTGAAAACTTTCATTCTTGATAAAGGTGGATAACAATCCCTTTTTACTAAGTAGCCGGGATTCTAGCCTCATCAAGCACTGAACTTCTCGCGCCGAAAGGTGGAGGGCCCAAACTCTAAGTTAATAATTGAACTTGTTTAAAAAAAAAAAAAAAAAAAAAAAAAAAAAGGTGAGGACTTCTCCCAAAAAGTGAGAAGTGGGAAATGATTAGATGGTTGTTATCTTGATTTGTAGCCTAGTTGATTTGAGCTCTTAAGTCCGTAGGGGTATTTGAATGCCTAATGCCCTAAAGCCGTCTGGTTTAGGAGTCATTGACCTAACGCTTGACCTCATGAATCACTAGAAAGCTTAATAGATCAACACATTGCACTATGCTTCCATCTTTGATCCTAAAAAAAAAAAAATTCGAGTGAAAAGAATAAGCGCACCTAGAATAATAAAGCTTTAATAAAAAGGTCTACTTTTTGTCTTGATGATCGGGACTAGATTTGCGTGCTAGTTTGAGGGTAAGGATGTGATCATTTCTCTAGTTGGCTAAGATAGCAACATATTTGATGCCGGTCCACTCGAAAGGATTCTAGAGTAGTTTTGATTTGCATGATCATTTTCTTGATGTGTAGAGGACCATACTTGCTTGTTTGAGGTTGAAATTTTGAGAGATTGCTCGAAATGGTTGAAAATTTTCATACCTGAGGTAGTTTTCTCCCAATGTTTGTTTGCAATATTGGTACCTCTTTTAAAAGAATGAGCTTAATGTTTATGGGTATCATTTCTGGAAACCCTCACGAGACTTCACTCGTCCACTATGGGTAACCTAGGGGTTTAAAAGGCTTGTTGCATGTGCTAAGTGCAATCGTGTTCCCTACGAAAGTGGCGTTATCCGTTTATTGTTTTCTAGATTCATACTTGTATAGTTGTTCATTTCATTCCTTTACTTTCTAGTTCATTGCTAGGGACTAGCAATATTTAAGTTTGAGGGTGTGATGAGTGCTGAAAAGTGCATATTTAAACCCCTTAAGCTTAGGCATTCTAGTACCTTTATTTATCTTACTCTACCATTTTAGATTGATTTCATAATATTTCCATTTTCAGGCACTTATCCCAAAAATAAGCTAACTCAGCCAAATAAGAGCTTAATTGAAGCAATTCTGGGATTAAACAAAGAAAGGAGCAAAGTGGAGAAAGAAAGAAGCAAATAAAGCCAAAGGTGGGAAGTAACAAAGTTCGATTGATCCAACTTCAAGGTTCGATCGATCGAACACTGATCGATCTCAGTACTTCAAGATAGATCCAAACCTTAACCCAAAACAGAAAGTCCAAGTTCGATCGATCCAACACCATCTTTCGATCGATCGAACACTTTTGTCCTTATTCAAATGATTGATCTTATCCACAGCTGTACCACCCACTAACCACTTTTATCCTTTTTGCAAAAATATCTCCCAAAATATCTCGGATTTGTCTTTTCCCAAAAAGCTAAACCAGTTGGATTGATCCAGCCTCAGTTTGATAGATCTCAGCCAAGTTCGATCGATCCAAGTCTAAGGTTCGATCGATCGATCGAACTTCCTCCAGTGCGAAAAAATTAAAAAGCCAGCTTATTCAAGCCGTCCTCTATCCAATCATTAAAGAATATTCTTTGCACGACCCTAGCTCATTTTGTGTGTCACTTGACCTACCTATAAAAGGAATATGATGCACTTTTTGAGAGATATACAATTCTAGGGATTATTCTAAAAGGAGGCAAGCTTTAGGGGAGAAGAAAAGAGGAGGAGGTTAGAGACACCATTTAGAGTTCTTCATCAACAAGGAGCAGATTTCTTCCATGGAGTTAGCCCTTGAGGGTTGGAGCAACATCACCATGAGTGGCTAGACATCCTCTTGGGGCTAGAGTTAGCCCCAAGCATGCTTTCTTTATCTTAATCTTGTGTATTATTGAGGGATTAATGTTGTAATTAATGTTTTGACACTTTGATGTATATAGATCTTGATTGTTCAATGATTTATGTGGTTAAATGCTTTCAATTGATCATTTCATTCTATCCATATGTCTATGTATGTTAGAATAGATGTCTTGTCTCTAGATTTTGTGTTATTGATGCATGTCTATGTGTATTGATGCTATAGATTTAGAGATTGTCAAAACATAGTGCTTAATGGAATGCTCTTGTGATTTTCTTGATGTTTCATGCCTATTCCTTGATGGATTGTGCATCTCCCCAAGTTTATTTTCATGCTAGTAGTGTAGTGTTAAATGAGAGGACAATCCATGCTTTTTGTTTGATGATCTATGCTTTTGAATGCAAGTAGCATATGTCTCTAACCTTATGTTGTATTTGGATTGTGAGCTTAATGAAAGGATTAATGACTTGTTTTGATCTATTGTGCCTTTCACATGTTGTTTAGACAATATATACTTCATTGCTTATATATATTGTGCCTTTCACATGATGTTTAGACAATACATACTTGACTAGCCATCCTTGCTTGTTGAATCAACCAAACACACACACACACACCAATATTGCAACACACCATTTGCCCTCATTAGTCACTTGTCAATGGTATGGAAATGTATTGCTTGGTGGTGATCTCTAAACCTCAAGACTCTTCTCTCTCTTATTTATTCTTAGTTGCATTCTTTTGTTATCACTTAGTTTAATTTAGTTGCTCTCTAGTCTAATCAACCAACCAATCAATTGTTTGATCACTTGACCTACTAGCCCTAATAACGATTCCACAACCTTGTTCGACCCTCACAATCCCTTGGGATGATCCCTACTCGCCCTAGCTATATTTATAGTGAAAAGTAGTAATGGCTTTTATAAATGTAAAACTCTTAGCCCTCGCCTAAAATTCACACTCTCAAACTTGATGGTAGTGTGATAGACCGATCATTAACAACCGTCATCGTCATCGATTAGCAATAGATTCAGATGAGGATATGGGAACTCATGACTAGGATAGCAACTGGAAGCATGTTAGTGACAAGTTGAGACTTGCTCCTGTACAGGAATGCATTGCTACCTCTCTTGTTAATGATCCATTTTTTGAAGGGGTACCCAGCAGTTCATAGCCTATACAGGTATTCTATTCATGTTTTTTTTTTTTAAAAAATTATTATTATTATATATTTTTTTTCGCGAGTTATCACCCCCTTTTTTTTTAATAGACAAAAGGCAACGAGGGATTTCTTAGGGAAGATGTCATCATTGTTGCTAACCCGACATGTAGCGAAGAATCTATTTATAGATCATCTGGTTTAGCGTTAGCAACTGCGATAGGAAAATGTATAGAGATTCCACTATAAGGAAGTAGAGCCATTCAACACTCGGATGCTTTGGGGGTTGCTGAAGTGACTGGTTAGGTTATTGAGGCGGTTGAAAATAATGGTATAGATAGTATGGCCATCCCTGACTTACCTGTAAGAGAACAGGGTCCACCCTTGCACCGTGTTGCCCCCTCAGAA